TGTCATCGGTTGAGATGGACTGGTCGACGTTTCTAAGAAAAACAGAGAAAAGTTGTGAATTAACTCTGGGAGGTTTACAAGTAACTGGTGGGTTGGAGTTTCATGGGGAACAGAGATAAACTGCATCTTCGGGAGTAAGGGGCTGAATAAAAATTCTTCCCCTTCTTAAAAGTCTTGTCTTGGTTGAGTCAATGGCTACCTTGATACCAAAGTGGTTAATGCTTTATATATAATGGTTGTGTCTCAACCATGAAATGTGGTGGAGGTAGTATTATTGTATTTGTATGGTTTAATTAGTTTAGACATGGTCAGCTTTTACAATTTTATAGGGTTGCCTTTACTTTTTTATGTTTCTGTACAAATGGGTAATTTCAATAAGTATGAAGTTAATAAGGCACTCCTCTACCTAACTAGTCAGGTGTTAAGAAGACACTCCCCTATGTAACTGTTGAGTGTTAAGAAAAAACTTCTCTATCCTAATAGTGAGTGTTGTGGAGATAAGTCTTTACATGTGAATTTTTTTTTTATGTTATTGTTTTTGAAGAAACTAATTTCTAAGATTATAACTCGCATCTTTACACAGAAAAGTTATCTTCCTCACAGTGGTTTAGCTCAAAGTGGCAGGGCCCCCCCTGCACATTTTGTAAGAAAATGAATTCAGGGTCAGCCAGGACTCTACTCTGAGATATTCCAAACTTTTCTCTGGATGCTCATGGTTTCTGATGAAACAGTACTTTTTTACTTAAAAGAAATTGTCCCCCCCCCCCACACACACATCATGGGGTATACAGGGCAACTTACTAATGCCACTGCTTTTTTGCTCATCTGCCTAAGAGACTTGCATGCCATTAGCCTTGAGGCAACTCCCACCTAATTTCACATTTTTTAATGTGAACTGCACTGGTGCATGATGACATCACCATGCAGCAAAAGCCTTCCATCGATAGGAGGGTGACACAACCTCCATGTGCAGTAAATCCTCTTATGCACTTGCAACTCATGATAACTTTATTCTTCTCTTCAGTATTGTATGGAACAGATGTGTTTGAATTTTCTCATCTGAGTTCAACTTGTTGGGATTTGCTTTTGTCAATGGAACTTTGATTTTTGTTTTCTTTGGCTTTTATTTCAAATGCTTTAATTTTTTATCATGAATTTTCCAATGATGGTGACTTATACTTAGTTCTTTGTGGATGATGTTATTACACACGAAAGTCTTATTTCTACTATGGCTTTTTGGGATGTTGCAGTCATTGTTCAATATGTTGTGGACAAGCATGTGCTTACTGGACCTTCTACTTCCATCCTTATGGTTAAAATTCTTCCTCCTCAGTCAGAAATCATCTATTGAATTGTAAATTTAATCTGATTTGCTTTGGGTAGTGCCTTTCCATTTATGAAATTACCTTAACTTACCAGTCTCTTTCAGGATTTCATTCACAGGTATGTTCCTTTCTTTATCTTTTGCCTGTATCATTTAATATTTATTGTTTTTTATTCCATGTTCCCAATTCTTGGGGCTTACCTTGTCTTTCCTTCTTGCTTGTTATTGTGGTTTATACTGTATCCTTTCTTTCTTTCTTTAATAGCTCTTCTCTCACACCCAAATGCCTTGTCTCCCTCACATTTATAACTTTTTTTCCTGAATTGTTGACCTTTCTTTCCCATTCTCAGTTCCCTATCCTTGGAATTTATTTGGCCCTTTGCCTTCTATTTCACTCTCTAGTTTTCGATTTTTGGATTTTTATCTTTTTCCCAATATCTTCCTGTATTTCCTTTCCTACCTCCATGTTTTGTCTGAAGCACTTCTTTGTACTTCAGATGGTTTTTTTTGTAGAAGTTTATTCCATTCTCTTTGCCACCTTAATCTGTTACTTTTCTTCTGCTCTACCCTCCTTTCCTTGTTTTCCTGATGTTGATACATTTTAGGTTGGGTTACTTTCCTCTTTAATGTACTCCTTCCTCCTCCTTGTGTACATGGTCTTTTTTTGGG